ATGGATTACTAAAAAAAATTACGATCATGGAATTAAAAAAAAAAATTACAAATTTTCAAAAAATTCAATCATGAAAAAAATTCGATCATGGATTACATAAAAATCGATCATGGATTACAAAAAGAAACAAACAAAAAAAACAAAAAAATTCAATCGTGGATTACAAAAAAAGAAAAAAACAATTTGATCATGGATTACAAAAAATTCAATCATGGATTACAAAAAACTCTATCATGGGTTACAAAAAAAGCAAAAAACAAAAAATTCGATCATGGATTACAAAAAAAAAAACAAACATATCGATCGTGGATTACAAAAAAAAACAAACATTTCGATCATGTATTACAAAGCATTCGATCATGGATTACAAAAAATTCTATCATGGGTTACAAAAAAAAAAAAAACAAAAAATTCGATCATGGATTACAAGAAAAAAAAACAAATATTTCGATCATGGATTACAAAAAAAAAAAACAATTCGTTCATGGATTACAAAAAAATCGATCAAGTATTACAAAAAAATCTATCATGGATTACAAAAAAAAAAAAACGTACGGTTTCGCTGATTCACTGTACGGACTAGCCGGTTCCGTACAGGAATAGGCGAGTCACTGTACAAAATCGTTCGGTTCTAAAGAACCGGACGATTCCTATTTTTTTCACCGATTCGATCTATCCATAGCGATTCCCGTCCAGTTCGACTCGGTGTTTTTTTAAACACTGGATTGTACCATTAAAAAGATTTTAAACATTAAAACCACCTTTTTCGATGGATTTTTGAGGTGCATCCGTAGTCCCACATTATAAGGTTGCATCCTTATATAAACTTTTTCCTTAAAGAAAACATTCAATATCTTCATTGGAGTTGACGTCGGTTCTTGACTTCAAGCTCATTGTCTTTCTTTGATGCCACCTCTATTTCTAGGGTTCATTCCCGTTTCAGAAAAGAAATTCCAGGGTTTTTACTATAAAGTATAAACCACGCACTCTGTTATGATATGCTTTCAACTCAATCTCACTCTGTAATTCAAGGTTTCATTTCTCTTCTCTTCCATTTCTTAATTTTGGGGTTTCTTCGCTCTTCTCTCTCTGTAACAATTCTCATGTCGTAGACTCTTTCTTTAGTGTGAAGCTCTGATACTTTTTTGGAATGGAAATATGAAAATTCGCCATTGAATTTTAGTTTCCTCCTCACTATTTGATTAACCTTGGGTTTCTACTTTCTATGTTACAAGAGTCGGATATCTCATTTCTCTCTCTCTTTGATGAAAACGGAGTATCTGTGAGGAAAAGGCTGGAATCTTACTCAGAGCTTCAATGGAGTTCCATTTTTAGGGCTATCGGCCTTCCTCTTCATACAAAATCCTGTTGTTTTCTATGTCTCTGTATCTGTAACAAACTCAGGGTTTTCTCACATTGAGTAAAGATCAGATCATCCTCATGGATTCAGTCAAGGTTCTAAATTTCAGAATTCTCAGCTTTCCTCTCTGTAAAAGTTCTAGGGAATCTGCTTCGTTTCAGGGAAGGTTCCTTACAGTTGCTCTTTTTCTTTGCCTGTTTTTCACTGTAACATCTTCCTTTGATCAAAACCTTTACAGTGAGCATTGCAAATCCTTACTCCCATCATCCGAACCACATACCGAATCATTTTACCCCTCCTTTTCCCTTGACATGAATGAAGGAATCTATATTGGAGGAGGAAAAATTTTAGGGCATGTTCCATCATCGTCCATTGGAAACTGGGTCTCTTTCAGAGTCCACAGATATCAAAATACAAGTGTAGATGATGTGATAAAAATCACTGGAAATCTAAAAATCCGAGGCTCTAAAAGCTACAATTCGAGTTTTAGCAGAGGCCCTCACTTCCATACCAGGTCCCCAAGGAATATTAGTCGGAGAGGCTTATTAAACTTCGACCTCTCGGGGTTCTATTCTCGCTCTTCAAAGACACTGTGCATGATTGGATATGGATCTCCATTATTCGGAGGTAAAGAACTCCATTTTTCATCTGTGTTTAAGCTGAATTATCCAAAGAATTGCACCGTCCTAAATAGTTTTGTTAATGGTTCATTAGAGATCATGCAAAACAAAGATTGGGTTAAATATTCGGAATTGGTTTCTGTCCTTGCAATTTCTTGTGGGGAATCTGATTATGCATATACAATGCTTGTGAATGCTAAAGCCATGTGCCCTGAAAAGAAACTATATGAGATGCCTTTGTCTGAGGTGCACATCCTTAACGAACCAAGTATTTGTAGTTATTTGTCTTGGGGTATACATGATCTTCAATTGGAATATGATCCAGATTGCAAATCTGGGAGATGTAGTCCTTTTGATAGTCTAGGGTTTCTTCCGGAGCGAATACGTTTTAAGAGCTTACAATGCAGAGAAAGGGAAAGGGCCCAATTTCTGTTTGGGTTTTCCAATTACAGTGATTTCGATTATTTCAATACTCATTATCTGGTTCCAGAAACAACTTTACTTGGGGAGGGGATGTGGGATGCAATGAATGACCAGTTTTGCATGGTTGGTTGCCGCCTGATTAATTATAATGGTTCTTTAGGAAATGCAGCAATGTGGGATTGCTCCATGGGTTTAAAATTACAGTTCCCTACAACGTTGACTGTGAGGAATAGGAATGTTGTTCAGGGTCATATATGGAGTAACAATTCTGGGTATTTCAAAAGCATTAGATTTTCAAAGCCCTTGGATCCAAGGGGACTGAGAATGTCAGGCAGATGGAGTCAAAACTATTCGTACACTGAGATAGAACATGTGAGAGAATCATGCAAGGCTCATAAGGAGGGTCATAAGAGCATGGGAAGAAGGTATCCCGATGGTTCATCTTTTCAAGACTTGAGATTCGATGCAACCATAAAAAACTCTCATGGAGAGCACAATTGGGTATATTTCACTCCCTTATTCCTTGGGGAGTCAAACCTTCAGCGCCCAATGTATGCTCTTCCTGATGCAAGTGAAATTCATACTTCCAAGTCCAATTACAGTCTGAACCAGCTGAATGTGAGCTATAGCATTAGCTTTGCCATGTCCCCTGAATTCAGATGGAAAGACTCAGAGTTTGTAGAAATAGCAGCCGAAGGCATATATGACCCTCAAACTGGAATTTTGTGCATGATGGGCTGTCGTAAGTTGGGACCAGAGAATGGTAATTTGAAAAATATCAGCATGGACTGTGAGATTTACATCCATGTGCAATTTTCTCCTTTGAATCCTAAACTGGCCTCAGTCGAGCATCGCAGTGGCACCATAAAAAGCACAAGGAAAAAGAAGGATCCTCTTTATTTTGAGCCATTAGAGCTGTCTTCGAGAAATTTGTACCATGAGCTGGCAAAGGAATCAGTATGGAGAAAGCATTTGGAAGTCATCATGGTTCTGATGTCTCTCTCGCTTGCATCAATATTCATAGTGTTGCAACTCTTATATGTTAAGAAGCACCCTGATGTGCTTCCCTTTGCATCAGTGTTGGTGCTCACAGTGCTTACTTTAGGGCACATGATCCCTCTGGTTCTGAACTTTGAAGCTTTCTTCTTGAACCCAAATCGACAAAATGTACTTAACTGGCGTGGTGGGTGGCTTGAAGTGAATGAAGTGGTAGTCAGGCTCATAACCATGGTCGCATTTCTCTTGCAATTTCGGCTTCTCCAAGTGACCTGGTCTGCTAAGTCTTCTGCAGGTTTGGGAAATAGCCCTTGGATCTATGAAAAGAAAGCTGCATTTGTATCCATGGGCTTATATCTTGTGGGGGGTTTGGTTTCTTGCTTTTTCCATTGGAAGGCATCTTCGACTCAAGTGGTGGGACCTCGATGGAGAATGACAATCCATCGTTCTATTTGGGAGGATCTCAGATCCTACTCGGGTTTGGTTCTTGATGGCTTTCTTTTGCCTCAGGTCATTCTAAATTTTATCTGGGACACTAAGGAGAGGGCTCTCTCTCCTTGGTTCTTTATTGGAACCACCCTAGTCAGATGTTTCCCTCATGTATATGATGCATATCGAGCAGTTCGGTATGTGTATCAGTCTTCTAATTCCTACTTTTATGCCAATCCCTATAATGATTTCTATTCCACTGCATGGGATATTGTGATTCCTCTTGGTGGTTGTCTGCTTGCAATCCTCGTCTTTTTGCAGCAAAGGTTTGGGGGTAGGTTCTTTCTCCCTCAAAGATTCCGGAACCATGTTGACTATCAAAAGGTTTCTACAGTTGGGACATGAGGCTTTGCTAGAAAGGGGCATTTATGGTGGTTTTTCCACCTTTCAAAATTGGGACACACCTGAGCAGGTATGAGGTATCAGTTCCTTTTGAGTTGAGAACTATTGCATGTTGATGTAATACTTGTATACTTAATGAATGCATATTGGGCTTGCAGGAAACCTTCATGGAATGATAATGTTCAATGGTTTTTATTTGGGTTGGATGTTTTTTTAACATAATGTGCTATGATTGATGGGCTCTGATAGGAAATTTGAAGTTCTCTTCTATATATTCTGCATGTAAAAATTTTGATATTTGATGGGATAGATTATAAAACGGTTTAGTTGTGGTACAAGGAGGATGCTCTCACTCTTGGCCAGGATGCATATACAATCAGTGTAAAGCCAAATTAAATATTATGAAAAAACCACCTTGCAAAATCATAAAGGTGGCCAAATCGTATCATTTAACATTAATGTTGTTATTTGAAGTTTCATTCCACTTAGCACTTATGTAAAAAATAGTAAAAATGATTTAGGTGCCCTTGTTTGGGATTGAAAACCTTGAACAAGCAAGAGCATTCTGGTAATTTGATCGACTTAAATGGCCTATAAGCTATACGACGAAAATACCTCTAGTTGTTTATGGTTAGCAACACAGATCTGCCAAATGATGATGATAACCCTAGTTGTTCAAGGCTTGCAACAAAGAATATTTTTTCACTCTAAACCCTTTCTATATTAATAAGCCTAAAAACTAGGGGTATTTTTTTCATTTAGTTTGGGCTATTTAAGTAGGGTCAAATTACCAAAATGTCTAGCTTGTTTAGAGTTTTCAATTTTGAAGAGGAGCAATTTGGTTATTTTCGCCATATATTTTGTGGAGGTACTTATGTGAAATAAAACCTAAAAAGTAACAATTCTATTGTTTAATAAAATGATTTGATCACTTTAATGATTCTTTAAAGTGATTTGACTATTTAATTGATGTTTTTCTTAAGCAACAATTATAGTTACATGTTTCGCCATATCGGTGTTTTGGGCAGAACCAGCGTTTTAAAAAACGCCGAGTCGAATCGGACTCGCCCGGTTCGACTCGGAAATCTTGAAAAGGGACCCGATCGCTCAAAGAATCGGAAATCGTCCGGTTCTAGAGAGAACCGGACGATTCTGTACAGTGAATCGCCGATTCACTGTACGGAATCGGCGAGTCCGAACAGTGAATCGGCGATTCCGTACGGTAATTTTTTTTTTTTTTTTTTGTTTTTTTTTTTTTTATTTTTTTTTTTGTTTTAATTCTATGTATAGTATTTTTTTG